GTGAGCGCGAGGCGAATGATGGCTTTGAGGGCCCGGCGTGCGCATGCGCAGTGGCCGAGCGGAGGCAGCGCGCGGCGCGGCGCGAGGGCCGGCCGCCGCCCACGTGCTTCATGGTGTACTTCGCGTGGCTGCTGGCGGCGCTGCTCGACGTGGTGCTGGACGCGGTCTTCATCCCGCACTACGCGCTCGACATCTCCCACGCCAAGGTGAGCGGCCTCCCTCAGGCCGGCGTTATAATGAACGTATGTCACTGGCCCACTTTGACTTACGTACATTACAAATAACCATAAGAAGATTCTGATACAGTGACCCTGAACGTCGGTTATAATGAATACAATGATCTGGAAATTATTTCTGTCCTGGAAAGTATATCTACTCCATTAAAACCTCTCGCCATCTTTTGCGTTAGAACTCAGCAAGAGACGCGGCGGGGCGCCATTTTGGGCAGTCAGGATTGTTTTCTCGCCAGGCGAACACACGCGACCAGGATCCCCTACAGAATGGATGGGGAACTGCTAATACAACATTTTTAATATATTAGAAATCGAAAATTCTTCAGAATATACTATAATTGCATAGGGGTGCGTAGGGTCGAACACGATAGTCATTTGTCGTTGAAAATCTAGAAAGAAGTCTAAAATGTACAATAATAATATATTTTATTTTCTTACATATGGCATTCCCCGACAAAAAGAGTTGAACCCATGCACACGTTTTAAAATTTGCAGTAATTATGACAAACGGATGGACACATCCCAATATTGTACCATACATAGTTCGAGCATTAGTTTTTTATTGTCTAGATACATATAATATGAAAAATGTAAGTATTTTATGATATAAAAAGTTAGCACCTTTAATGCTGTTTTTATTATCTGTTTTTTAATATTTGAGTAATCTTTATATTTATTTATATTTTTAATTTATGGAATATAATTAAATGTATTCAATAAAAAAAGTGACACGACATACGTTAAAAATTCTTAATTTTTTTCTTTAGCAGTAGCAAATTGTGTACTGGTACATTCTCCGGCGCGTGGTGTTGCAGGGCGCGCGCAACGTGATGCGGCTGCTGCAGGTGAGCGCGCTGACGGCGGGGTGGCCGCAGGCGCTGCCTCCGTGGGCGGCGCGGGCGCCCGCGCTGCCGCCCGTCGTCCTGCTAGTGGTGGGGTCGCGCGTGGCGCCCTTGCTGTGGGTGGCGGAGGGCGCGGCGGTGGGGCGGGTGGCCGCCGCCGCGCGCCGCCTCCACCAGCGCCGCCGCCAGATGCTGCGCCGCAGCGGTCGCGGCTCGCAGGTGAGGGCTCCCTCCACCCCACCTTCTTTTTCTTTCGCTCGAATGGACGGTCGATTTCTGTTTGAATACTGGCAAACCCGATTTATCGAAATTCGTAATTTTTCCCTCTTTAAGATATTCTAAAATTCACGTTCAATAATTATCTTTATCTGCTTTTGGCCTCATTGGTCTCTCACTTGAGTGTGCTTGCTGGGATGGTGATGGTGAAGGGTGCAGGTTACATACGCTGTCTATGCCTCAATAATTATCTCATTTTTTCTTTGATTCTGTGTTGAATATGACTAGTTATTAGTGTTTATTATCTTTTTTAACTGTAAACATTTGTAAAAAAACATTTGTAACAAATGTAAACATTTCTGGAAGTCCAAAATTTTATGAGCAATTTCCAACGTAATAAATCATCAAAATTAAAAAAACTCCCTTCATATGATAGGATTTTAAAGTGATCAGTAATTACATTGAGTAGGACGCTGAAGTGCCTTCGGGCAAAATATTGGTCTTAGAGAATGCTGTATGTGATGTATTGAAAGAAAAAGAAGTTTATAAACACGGTTGAATTTAAAATATTGAAGGCAATTAAATTGGGAGGAATGTTGACATAGTTGATCATAAACTCAGTCAACCAGGCACAAGTTAAAGGACTACAAATTAAAGGACTACGAATTCCAAGCACATGGCGCAGAGAACCCTTATTCCACTGCTCGGCACTACTCAAACAAATTGCTCTTATGAGGGGGAGAACCTCGACTGTCGCCGAAACAAAAGAACCGTTGGAGTACACCAGATCCATGATACTGTAACAAGGAAACGTGTAACAGTATCATGGATCTGGTATTCTTCAACGGTTCTTTTTTCGGTGTAGGAAATTAGAATTGTTATGGAGGTTATTGTTCCCAAATCCACCTTAAAAGTGTTGTTAACGCTCTTAACAATTATCTAAAAATTAAAATTCGCACTCACATGAATCCACACTGACAATGAAAATACTTTATAAATTAGCGAATGCTTACGACTGCCTGATTGTGGCCTCCTCCCTCCCTGCACTAACGATTCCTGTGCTGCTGTGGGCCCTCACGTGCTCGCCCTCGCGCCAGGGGCCGACGCAGGGGCCGACGCAGGGGCCGACGCAGGGGCCGACGCAGGGGCCGACGCAGGGGCCGACGCAGGGGCCGTCGGGGTCCCTGGCGCGGACTTGGCGGCCGCAGGCGACGCCGCCCGCCGACTCCGAGGACGACAGCCCCGCAGACAGCGCGTCGTCCACGCCCAGCCCGCGGTGAGCGAACGCCGGCGCCGCGCCCACAGTTGAGGTAGAATCGAAGTCAATTCGTGGCGAACTCGAGCCATCAAGCACGCTCTTCCGTCTGGCCACGCAAATTTGCTACGCTCCTTTCACCAACTACGGAGAAAGTTATTTCTTGGGCGACGAAACAGGCGATTTGAATTTAGCTCAGAGGCTTCTTTTAGGTGTCAGGATCATTTACATGTATTCAATCTACAACAAGAAAAAGTCGGCTTTAGTTCCCCTCCGAATGAAGGCGTACAAAGAATTTGTTCCCTCTTAAAAATACACATAAATTCGATTGGCATTGAACCTGCAAACTTGGGTAAAATCGCTCGATACGCTAACCGTTATATCACCGAAGCCGCAAAAATTACTTGATTCTGATTGTGCTCCACTCGAATTCGCGATGTGAATATTTGCAAAGCACTCGAAACGAGATGGGGAAGGCCCTATATCGCTTTCAAAATAAATGTGTCGTATGACGGATGTCGTAATTGTGTTGCTCTTGAAAACAGGGTTTTCAGTTTCGTCAATGTTTGGCGGTAAACGCCTAGCAGTGGCTTTTGCATGAGTTAGTGGACGATGAAGGTCTATATGTATGATATATAAGGGGAGAGAGATAGTGGGAGAGAGGGAGAGGGAGAGAAAGTCAAATATTTTAAGGATGATACAGAATTTAATAATATTTCCTTTTCTTAGTGTGGTGATTTCAATACAACCGCAGGCAACAAAAACGCACATTGATAGTAATTCACGAATTTAACTAGCAAATCTCAAGAGCGAATAAGCAATACGCAATAACTATCCCGTCTCATAAACGTTTGGACACCAGTAATGAAAATTACAGGAATTTTATATAAGAAGAAACTAATTTGTTTTGTTTAATAATACCATACATTATATTATTAGTTATAAGAGCAAATTATGCAAAATAAAGTTCAGATTACGATGCAAATCTTAGAACACAAGGCATTTAAACTAATTTTACAAAACTAGTACATACTAAACCTAATAAAAATCACAATATTACCGTGTGTTTTCTGGGAAGATATTGCTCTAATTGTGAAGAATTTTATTTCGTTATGAATTACTTTTATTGCACTACTTTTCTGAAATTGTTTTGTATAAGTTTGATATCCAAATATTTGCTGCTATATTTTCAGCAGCAGGCAACATACATATTAAATGGATTCAGCGCACAATATAATATATTCATGAACGTAAAATTTTAATCATTTGAACTTTATTTAACTGTGATATTAAGTGTGAAATATGCTCAATATTTTAAATATTAGTTATCAGTGTTATGTTGCATATCCCACATTGTTAATGGATTGTTTGTAGCTTTCTGTTTGTAAATGCTTTATGTTTGCTTGGATGTGTGTAATTATTTTATATTTACAGATTTTCGTCCAGAAGAAAGAGCAATTTAGCATTCCTTATTACTGTTATTGTATCACCTTGTTTTAATATCCTCTGCTCAATATAAAAACTAATTTCAAATTTCCTCAGTTTTGAATCATCGTGTGACCATGCATTTGATGTCCGTATGTATGTTGTGGAAAAAACCGAAACATATCCTCACCATATTGTATTGGAGAAAGAAGGAAAAGCAAAAAATAAATGAGAGCTTAAAATACCCTTTCAGCACATTTTTCCAATATAAAGTGCTCTATTCAAAAATTTTATTATTTTGATTCCGGTGACAATCTATCCCTTCAAGAGGAACTTATGAAGAGAGGAAATAACAAACAGCAAATTATCAACTATACATCACAGACTCCAAATATCGTGAGTCGAGGTTTTAGTTTGAATTAATTTTGTGAGGAAAGGGCAAATAAATACCTTGAATTTGCACGAGACGGATTCGTACATATTGTTCTTTTAATTGTGACATGATTAGTCTATTTCCAATATACCTAGCCCTTCCGGGTCCCCAGTTCAAAAACTAAATTCGAGCCTTACCCTCAAAAAACTTGGTTCAACTAAATAAAACTACTTGAAATCAACTTAAATCATAACCACAAAATTCAAAACGAAGACCTGCAGACTTTCGCTTTGACGATATAACGTCGCCCAGGTTTGCTTTTAACAAGTTCGTCACTATACTCTCTAAGACAATATGCCAAGACCAGCCACTCTCTCCTGTCCCATCGTATTTCGCAGATAATTTTTGATAATTTTAAATTTTGAAAAAGATGAAGCAAGAGGCAAGCTACATGGATTTTATTGCTATGTAGAAAGTGTGCTAGTAAATGAATGTTAGGTCGTAATCCATTTGCTTTTCACGATTTTATACGGAGTAGATGGTGGTTACTATTATTACACATTACTTTGTGGATAGTACGATGTCAAAGATTGATGAATTGAGGTTACTAGTGCTGAAAGAATTTGATTTATAAGGATAGTAAAGAAATATATTTGTTGAGAGATCAATTGCGTGATTTGGAGCGGGTATGGATAAGTTGCATGATAAGTAGGTTTTAAAAATCGGAATATAATGGGCGTAAATTGTGTTTTTAATTATGGTTTTGGTATAGAAGGTCGGGCGAAGTGGCCTGCATGCGTTTTTGGGGCCGGGGTGGGGGGTGCCTGGGTGGGAGGTATGTGTGTGTGACGGAGGTTGTTGCAGTGGGAGTACAGAAATTCATGAAATGAGTTCTTGGGTCTAAGGTTTGATGTTGGGTGGGGTAGTGGGTAGGAAGTGCTTTTCTGGTTAGTTTCTGTTTTTTTAGATATGATTCGCGTTCTCTTTCTAGTGTGCCCGTAAGCTTGACATAGACGGCTCTGTTATAGACCTGGTCTATGACGTCTTTCGTCTACGGAGATAATTGCGTTAAAGAGGATTCTCGGTTTGTAGGTTTCCATTCCGGCATTGGTTATTAAAAGAGTAACTGCGCACAAAGGTCACGGTTTCCGATTTGAGTCTGTCAGTCTTATGACTGATATTACAGGATAGCTTTTGGTGGCGAATTCTTGAAAGATTTCATCGTCTGATACATTTCTTGATACTACTGAAATAGTTCATTTTGTTGGATCTTTATGCGTATGGTAATAGTCCTTTTGTTGATAGGGTTTTCCATAATGTAGTGCAATCATAGATTGTGTTGACCGTAAGTTCTGTACACGGCCCTGTGACTCTGGAGTTGAAATTTGAATTTTATTTTTTCTACAAGTGCTGCATGCACTGGTGAATCTTGTATAATAAGTATTGAGCGTATTTTTAATTCTTCCGAATGGGATGGATCACTGGAAACTGTTTCGGTTGCATCGGGATTAGATGCAAGGTGTGAAAATCTGTTGCCTGTTGGGATGTTAGAAGTTGGCAATTTTTCGGGAGACGGGTTTGAGATAGGTTACACGCAGACTTGTACTGAATATTTGGCCTCTTTAGCGAAGGCTCATGCGTCCTACTTATCCGCATCGTTGGTTGTGGACCTCCCATTTGCGGTGACGTGTGCTGGGCGATATCTTGGTAGACTGGCTGGCCAGATGTATACAGCTGTTGCTGATTTATTTAGAAAATAAATAAAAGCTTCACACCTTGGAAAAAACCTTGCACCACCACAGAAATTGTCATATTATAATGTTACGTAAACATTAACAATTTTGCGAAATATGTGCTGTTAAAAAACCTCTAGTTTCAAGTTGTACGCATCTGCACGCTCAGATGCGCTTTTGCTTTTTAAAATTATTTTTGATAAAGCTTGCAAATTCATCAGCTTATCTTATGCGAACCGCCAAAAGTGAATGTCTGCTGGACCACCTACTAGGACATAGACGCTTCAGTTGTGGGTCTGTCTTTCACTTAAGCAATAGATAATTAGGGCCCCAGGATATCAAATTACAAATTTGAGAAACATCTTCGCGTCCTCATAATGAAATACGTTATTGAAACTTTCTTCTAGTCGATTTACGATAATAAACAAATATATTTCAGAGGAGGATTTGAAAGTGTGTTCAGTTCGACAAAAAATGCTTTTGGGGATCCCTTGTGTCCGGGGGGCCTCAGGGAATTGCACCTGCCGGGCTGGTGGTAGTTACGCCACTGATGTGCAATCTGGGGGGGGGGCGGATTCAATTTCGACACTCCCTTCTCTTAAAGAAAATTATAGAGATACCCGGTTAGAAAAAAATCCTTGAAGACGAGGTTTGTCAGGACCGGGGGCGAAGGAACCTTCTTTTCACCAACAACCGTCTCTTGTCTCCGCCCATCGCTGACTTAGGGGCGGTGTCATCTGATGGCACGCGATTGGCGCAATCCTGCTCGAAGGGCATCGACAGTCGGAACGCGTGGCGGCGCCTGGCTGAGTGATGAGGCAAACGGGACGCCCAACCCAAAGTTAACACGAGCAGTGGAAAGGTTCTTTTCATTTCCACGCGGTTTGGTAATAGTTCTGAAGCCCGGAAATTATAATTCGCATTTTCTTCGGCGCGGAGGGAAGCCAGGCGCCGGAACGCGATGCCATTCGCCCCTGGCGCGCCTCGTGAGCCGGCGCCGGCGTGCGTTGCAGGAGCCCCGCCGGGTCGCCGTGGTCGCGCCTGTCGCTGCTGCTGTCGGCGCCCGACGGCGAGCGCACGTGGCGCTGGTCTTACGTGCCGCTCACCGAGCAGTCGCCCCCCGCCCCGCGGCCCCGCGCCGCCTCGCCGGCTTCCGTGGGGGCAGTAGGGCCTTCTGGCCTTGCCCCGCGCCCTCCGCCAAGGCGATATCTTCTTCGAGATGGATTCGGCAGCTTTTTGTGATGTTTTACGCCGTAACTTGACATCTGTTGATACCTGTGCAGATCGTTGTGCTGTGTAATGTTTTCCGTGATGTTCACGTACAGTTACATCTCGACAGTGACATGTCGATGTCATATTCGTGTAAGTTTGTTTTGTGTTTCAGTACCGTCCATTGTGGTGTCAAGTGCACATGTACTGTGAAATTTACAGCTTACTGCCGACAACTCAAATAAGAGACGGTGCCTTATGTTCAGCAAATGATATTCAAAAAGACCACAGGACAGTGTTTCAAGTGATTTATCGATGTGTGTGTGTGTGTGTTGTGTGTCGAGCGAAGTGGCTCAGAACGTAGCATCCGGGAGACCGGGACGAACCCTGCCATCCTGGCCTGTTTCCTTGGTCATCCACGGAAGTGCTGAGATGGTTCTACTGAAACACCACGACTGCAAAACCGGCTAGTCGCTAGTCGAATTCCTTAACTACGAGTGTGTGAAGTCAAGAAGATTAAGCGAATTCTACACATCGTGGTCACCTGTTTGAGGGACGGACAAAGGACTGCGGGATTCAACGGCACCGAGGCCAATTGCCCTTTACGGGACATTAGTGGCTAAAAACAAATGTGTTATGTTCCGCTCATTGTACTTTTGTGTCCGCCCCAACAATCGATGTGCTCGCTGTGTTTGTGCTCGAACGTTCAAATGTGGTCGGCGAACAGATATCAATGTTTCCGAACACACGTTTCCATAAGCGAACGAGTTAATCTGTGTTACCTGAAAATGCTTTGTTACAGTTCGGGAGCGAACGAAATCCAGCAGACAGAGTGAGATCTCTGATTGGTTACAACCATCAACATCCTCCAGCAGAGATGAGCTCCTTAACACGACTTGAACCTCTTCAGGAGGAATCTCTCAAAATCTGAATTTTATCTACCTTTGTACAGTTATTTTTAATATATTAGTTACGTATTGATATTTATTATTATTTTCCTGTGAGTTATGTATGCATCCTGATTAACACGATATCCTTATCGCCTATTTAAAATAGAACTAATGATGGAAGAAATCATTGACCAAAAAACCAAAGTTGACAATATTTATTCTTCTTAAAACGTACCTCGATTTCCAGAGCTACACTAAAAATGGCATAATGTACATTTTTTTAATTTTACAACCTACGCTAATGTATTAATTTGAACATTAGTGTATAAAATGAACATAACTTTCTGCCTTTTAAAATTCATGTGAATCTTCCAATATATACGATCCGACAGTAAAACTAGTTTTTTTGACAAACTACCGTATTATAACACAATATGTGTGCTCTATTTTTTTCGTCGAAATACCGGGCTAAACACGTTTGATTCTGACGCATACGCCGCTTTGGTAATTCCTGTGTTTTGGGCAATACATCTATTATTCAAAATATTGTACAACAAAACCTTTTGTACACATCAGATTGAAATTGATAAAATAATGTAGTATTTTCTTCTCTCTTTCTCTATGTGTATTTTATGATCATATGATTACACGATAGTGAGAATGGAATTCATAGCAACACATGTCAATTTCATGTTTTTGAGGAAACAAATATATGGCAAAACTTCATATGACAACAGTTCTGGTGCACTATAATTCTATTTTGTTAAAGTTCAGAAATACTTATATTTCCAAATCTTTTTATTTCTGCCTTTATTTTTCGAAATACACGCCGGGGGATGATATAAAATAGTACCGGCAGTGTATAAAATGCTCTGACAGTTCAATGCGCTGTTGACACACATTAATACGCAAATAAAATCTCAAAACATGAACATTTACAAGAAACAATAAATAGCACTATTTTAGATGTTTCAAATTGGTTTTGTAATAACAAATTAATAGTTAATGGAGGAAAAACCGTTTCAATACATTTCAAATCATTAATCACCTGTTCCATTGAAAATTAATAATATGCCATTAGGTGATGTTCACATAACCAAATTTCTAGGTCTGTCAATTCAGTCAAACCTCAAATGGAATGTACATATAACAAAATTAAACAAGTTCATTATGTTACCCACTCAAAATTCTTTCAAATTCTGTCAGCCTTCATGCAGCTCGTTGCGTGTACTTTTCAAAACTACATTCCCGGCTCTGGTATAAAATTCTGGGGAAATTCATCATGTAGTACTCAGACCTTTAGATTGCAAAAGAAAATTATTCGAATAATGAAAAAATGCCATCCGCGTTATCCTTCCAAGCCTCACTTCATTGAGCTTGGAATCTTACCACTGCCTTGCCCATGTATTTACGAATCTGTAATATTTGTCAAATATAACTTACTTCACGGTGGGAACGCATTTTCATGCAATACTGATATTTATAATTATAACACGCGTCGTAAACATCACGTTCATCGAGTGTCAGTATCAACAGCTCACTGCCAGAAATCTATGTACGATACATGTACGTTACTTTACAACACATTGCCAGATAGCATTATACTATTGAAGTCGGTACACAAATTTAAGTTAAAAGTAAAATCTCTTCTGCTCTGTTTCTATACAATTAGAGATTTTACTGATTATCAAAAAGGAAAATAATGTTTATTTTAAGAAAATAGTCACATATAATGAATTAGTTTACATTTGTATTGAATATTTTTTTAAAAGACTTAATATTTTTGTAACAAATAATGGACTTCAGCTTCCGGGACAATGACACCTATCTCGATCACGTTTTTGTCCAGTTTCCCTGATTTATTGAGCAAATGCTGAGATGGCCCCTTGTTTTGCTTCTGGTCGTAAATGTAGCTACACTTTGCGCACTTTTTGTTGAACTTTACTTTTGCTTGTAACGGTAAGAGTAAAGATAAGGGCGAGTTGCTATTTTGTTAGAGAAGCAGAAAAAATATTTGCATCGGTGAACGAATTGCAAGTATGTTTTGTATAACTCGGAAACGATGTGTCTATTTTTTTTTAATATTGCTAATCTTGCGACTTTTTAAAACTTATTTTTATTAATTTATTTTAAATGTTTATTCATCTTTCACCTATTTATATTTAAAATGACTGGAAGGGATTCTGGAACTCAAGAAAACGTGTGCAGATAATCTTTTCCCCCATACGTCACATAATATTTTACTGTTTTTTACTAAATAAATCTAAATACTAACAGGCTATGACGCGCATTGATATCTTGTTCATAACTTTCGCCACAGCCAAACCTTACCGCTTCCGCGACTTCGCGTGACTCAGATGAACGGCGTCGCTGAACTCTGGCTGTGAGAAATCGCACAAATCCTCGCAAGCTGATTGCTTCAGAGCAGGTCACACGACGTACGTGGTGAGAAAACTGTCAGTCGCTTAAACGCTGCCGTACTATAGTTCAGTAGAGTTAGTTAATTTACAAGCAGTTTTATTTCACTGGTTTTGCTCAATACTAGTAATTAAGCTAGTTTATGAATTTCACAGCATTTTAAAGGAAATGAAAATTCTTGAATTTGAGAAGACTCACTAACAGAATCATTCCATTATTACTCTTTTCGATGTAATTTTTGTTGCCCAAAATTGACAACAATCCAGGAATAAAATCGTCGTCCACTTCAGAAGAATCCAGTTCTGATTCATTACTCAGAAACTCTTGAATTTCTAATGTTGAAAGTCGCTGTGAATTTGACATGTATGTTTTCTAAACATCTGTATGTCGCCAACCGCACGAACACTAATTACAAAGGAAGACATTCTGAACGCAATCAACAATGCCTGTGTGGCGTCATATCTGTCGCCAGTACAAACGTACTATATCAGCCACGTGGACAGCGCTGGCGGAAG